TTATGACGTTATTTCTAGCTGTATATTCTCTGTGTACCTCTCACTGCTTACTCTCTTGCATCCAAAATGGGTACACTTTACTGAAAAGAACAAAAAATATTGGGTCAGAGGGGAGTTAGTAGGGACAAATGATGCCTGCAGCTATTTATTTCTTATTAAATGATAATAAATGAACTTCACTTGAAATGGTAGTCCATGTACAATAATTTTATACAGTAGTGTTTATAAAGTTAAATTTAGTGAGCTATGACTTCAAAACATGACCCAGAAACATCTATTTTTTTATTCCCTGAATTTTTCTGTATTTTTAATTCTGGTGCACTTTCAGCGAGTTGGAAATCTGTTTCTATTTTTTGCTAACTTTTAGTTCTAAAAAAACCTTTACCGTTTTTTGACATAATTTAATTGGGATTCATTATTCATTATTTTAGTTGTTTGTTCATGTTTATAATTACTTAAGGGTTTTCTGTAAAAAGGCTTCTGATATCTGACATTTGTCAAACATTTTCTCTTATAATAGAATCAGGCAATCTTTTGAAAAACTGAATAGGTGATTATTTTTGCATGCATAACTGATTAAAATATTTGACCAAAAAGTTTTGGCCAAGAGGGCCTGTGTCCTCCTGCATTCTGTACGGTACATCTCTGTTGAGCGCTTCCTTCTTTCTAGTATATGAAGATAGGTAAGAAAGCATTGCTACCAAATCATAGACAATTCTATTTAATAAAAATATCACTGAGACAGCAGTCAGTGTGAGGCATGAAAAAAAAAGAATTTATAAATTATCAAGGTGACATATGGGAGGGAGGGGAGGAAATGAGGAGCTAATGCCGGGGGCTCAAGTAGAAAGAAAATGTTTTGAAAATGATGACAACATATGTACAGATGTGTTTGACACAATGGATATATGAATGGATTGTGATAAGAGCTGTAAAAGCCTTCAATAAAATAAAACAAAATTAAATAGGAAAAAAATATATATCACTGAGAGGCTAAAAACCAGTGACTTAGCTACTCACTGTAAAGAGATGTTGCTGTGGTCCAATGACTATATTCTTAATGTTTTCTGATCCTGGCTTGTGATAACCTATTAAATTTCCTAATAAGCCCTCATAATTATGAAAATATATATATCAAAAGATGAACCCATTGTTTGAACATATCCTGCATCTAAATCTAGTCACTTCTGAAGGTAATGTTTCCATCTCTCTCACCCTTTCGCCCAAGGATTCTGCTCACTTGGATTTACAACACATCAACAGAGCAATTGGGCAGCTTAAGGGACACAACCACCGAGCCCAGATGGTGTAGTGGGTTGTGCATTGGGGTACTAAGCACAATGTCAGCAATTTAAGATCTGCATCTGCTGCTTAGTGGAAAGATGAGGCTTTCTAATCCTGTAAGACTTACAGTCTTGGAAAAGCACAGGGGTAATTAAATGTGTCCCTCCAGTCCAGTCCATCTGTGTGCTAGAATCAACGTGATGGCCATGAGGTAGGGACCCAATTGTGTTCCTTTTAAATATTTTTTGAGTTTCGAAACAAAAGAGTCTGTGGGGTCAAGATCACAGGTATAGCCTAGATTGGATAAGGTTTCCCCATGAGACTGGTTACCTGTGCTTCCCTGAAAGAATCAGCAGGTGCGTTTTAAGATGAGAAAGAAATTCCTCAGAACTGTTTTCCTTATTTTTCCTAGCATTGTAGTTTTCTTTTTTCAAAACCTCCTTATACTAATCATACATGATTATCTTGTGTCTTTAAGAAAATCTATCAAGATTACGCACAGGAGTGAAAACAACACTAAGACTCCTTCCTGAGCTGACCTCTCTGTCTTGATTCTAACTGGCCCAGTAAAGCCCCTGATAAACCACTCTTTGGACTGGACCGATTTTTTTGTTTGTTTGTTTGTTTGTTTGTTTTGAAGGTACATTAATGATACTAAGAAAATAAGAGTACTGAGAGACTTTGTGGGCAGCTATCCCCTGTTCACAGAGACATATTTAAACATATTTTGTTTAGAATAAAACCGTGCATTTGTGACATGGAAATTTGAATTAAAAATTGAGATGAGATACCATATGCACAATTCCTAGAGTTTAATTTTGCAGATGGGATTCCAACAGTATTATATTATTTACTGGTTTGTCAATAGATGTGCTGGCTATGTGAACAACTGTGTGCATGTAGCTCCTACTACTCAAAATGTCCTACCATCAAAGTCACACCAGAATTCTAACTCATTCTCCTATTTAATGCAAGAGTGGTTTTTTAGGACACCTTCCCTGACTCTCTTGGCATAGTTCAGACATTCTTTCCCCAAGACTCCATTGTATATTTGGTATAATATTATTTTAAAACATTATTATTGAAATAATTTGTTAACAGATACACCTTCTGTTCCAGTTATTTCTTTTAGAGCAGAGACGTTTTTTTTCTTATTTAGTTTTTTACCTCCAGTGCCTATACCACTGGCATGGCCTTGGATGGCATGTAATTGAGAAATAGCTGTGAACATCTACTCAGGACAGAACTTGGGATATACAAAGCGTGAATCTAGGAAAACTGGACGTGGTTGAAATGAACAATGTCACAGACTGCTAAAAGGACCGAGCAACTTCTCTTGGAAGAAGTTCAACCGAAGTGCTCCACAGACACAAGCTGGCCAGATGTCACCTTCCGTATCTTGGACAGGATATCCAGAGCGGCTTTACCCCGCCGAAGAGCGTCATGCTTGATAAAGTAGAGAGGCCACAAACAAGAAGGCGGCTCTCAACCACATGGAGTGACACAGTGCTGCGATAACGGGCTCCAACAGAGGACCGCTTGTGAGCACGGTGCAGCACTGGGCACGGTTCCTTTCTGTTGTGTCTATGGTTGCTAGGATTCAGCACTGACTTGATGGCACCAAAACCCAAAAAGATATATTTACACGAGTGTATACACATAAAAGATACCACAGTGTCTACTCTCTAGAGCTTGTGATCATGTCAGAAAAATAAAACACAAATAGAAACAATTACTGAGTTCCCAAGCCCCATGCTCCCAAGTAAGCTAAATAATTTAACATCTGAACTATTGAATCTACTCTTTACAGAATTTTCATAAATAATAGGTGTAGTGGTTATGTGTTGGGCTGATAACCACAAGGTCTGCAGTGTAAAACCATCAGCTGCTCGGTGGGAGGAAAATGAGGCTTTCTGCCCTATGACAAGTTAGAGGCTCAGAAGCCCACAGCGGCAGTTTGGCCCTGTCCTGGAAGATCACTATGAGCCAGAATCTGCTCCATGGCAGTGACTTTGAGTTTGAGCTTTAAATAACATCTTAATTTATTAAATGTATCTCTGGGGTTTCTCCTATACTAAATTAAGATTTTAGCAGTCTTACTACCTAATCATCTCTCTCTTCTAATTTCTAAGAACAGTAATATCATTTGAATTTAAATTTACACCCAGGATTTTGTCTTACTGCTTTCCTACATATTATTCATATGCCACAACTCTTCTATGACTGCATTTCCTGCATTTTCTTTCCCCCTTTGTTTGATTTTTTTAAGTACCCATCACTAATTATACCAAACTTTTTAACAAGGATGGAATCGTTTTCCTAGCGAACCCCCTTCATACGGCTCTTATCTTCTTTCACACTCATGAGGATGTTCGCCATTTATTCTTTGTCCAGGAACACATTAATTCACTCAGTAAACCTTTTCGATCTGCTCATATGTGTTTTCGGTACTGTATCAGATTCCAGGATTACAGACATTGAGCTAACTAAAACAATCCCTGCATGTCAGTTTATCATAATAGTCACATAAACAAACGACTTTAATATGTTGTGATGGGGGCAACCCAAAAAAGCACTAAATCTATGTCTATTGCATGTGCAATGTTTAACGTGTGCTACAATTAAATAAAAATGCTCTAAAGGAAATGTGGCTGTTGAGAAGATAATATTTGGCTTCATGAAATAAGTCCAGAATAGCATAAAGGCACCTATTCGGCACGTTATGTCTGTAGGGTACACTTCAAGTTTTCAAAACTGGGTGAGGTCAGATATAGAAAGATTCTTATGGGCAGCAGTAGTCTGAATAAGTGAAGGTATCAGGGGATTTTAGACTGTGACCTCTATGAACACAGACAAGGACCCTGGTGGTCCGTCGTCAAGTACTTGGCTGCGAACTGCAAAGCAGACAGTTTAAAGCCACGAGCGTTCTATGGGAGAATGATGTCGCAGCCTGGTCCTGTACAGATTTATGTCTCGGGAAATTTCAGGGCAATTTTGCTTCATCCTCCATGGCCTCTATGAATCCAGATCAATTTACCAGCTGACGATTTATGAATACAGACTGTCGGAATATTCTTGCCACACCCTGAGATTTCTGAGCAATTGCCAGTAGGTTAGGGCACTTAGCGTTCATCAAATAATTAAAAAACTGGGTTAACAGTTAACACTGTTCTAGAGAGGACCATCTTTTTGCACGATCAGAGGAGTAACTGTGAATGCAATAAAACCAAACCAAACTCACTGCCATCAAGGAGAAGCCGACTCATAGCAACCCGATAGGGCAGGACGGCACCACCTCTGAGTTTCTGAGCCGGTAGCTCTGCACAGGAGGAAGAAGCCCCATCGTTCTCCCATGGAGTGCTTGGTGGTTTCAAACTGCTAACCTTGCTTTTATCAGCCCAATGAATAACACTATATCACGAGGCTCCATGAGAATCGAAAAATCCATGGATCCTATATACTGGGCACTGTGATATCTACAGCTATCAGTTATAAACCACAAAACATTGAAGCAAGTCAGTATTGCTTACCTCTTTTGCCAAAACTGAAACTAGGAGTTTGGGGTATTCACTGTAGTTTTCCCAAGATCTTACTTAAGAGCAGAGCTGACTTTCAAATACAAGCATCTGACTCCAACCTAGTCTGCAATATACTAATAAGAATCAAGATGGATATTGTTGCCGGTAATAACAAGAAAAAGTAAACATATTGAAATGTCTTTCTGTTTCAGACCCAGAGTCCTTTGAGGACTACATTAAATCCTACCTGGAACAAGCCAGTCAGATCTGGCAATGGCTCCTGGGGGCCGCTGTGGCAGGGGCTGTCCTCACTGCCGGGCTTGCAGGAATCGCCCGCTTGCTGTGTCGGGCCAGGAGAAAGCGGCTCCCGGAAGAAAAGCAGCGCCTCCTCCTGGAAAAACAGGGTTATCACAGCTTGTTGTCCCAGAGCCATTTATAAACGGTCTCGCCATTAGAGTAGCGCATAAGAGCCTGATCTTATTTGAACTCGTAGTGGTGGTCAAATCCATTCTCAGAATTGTAATCTAGCAAGTGCCTGGTGTACGGCCATCACCTCGACACAGGGAAAACACATTTATGCTCGCCTTCATACTTTGGCTCCGCACTCTGACAATTTCCCTTAAGCCCATATTTCAAAAAAAAAAATTTTGATGCCATTTGATAAAGTCTTACAAATAACTGAAATAAAATGTCCTTTAAAAAGTTTAAATAATTATGAGTGTTGCTTCTTAGTTATTTAACAACATATTTTATTGCCACCCCCACCCCCCACCCCAGTTTCGATTTTATTGTGATTTGGGCGAAGGTTTACAGAACACATTAATTTTCCATCCAACGTGTGTACACAATTTGTTTCACATTAGTTGCAAGCACCTCAATGTAACAGGACTCTTTCCACCTCCCCCCTGGGTCCCTGTCTCCATTCATGTTTCCTTGCCTGCTGAGTTTTGTTTTGGGGAAAATGATGTACTTGATGGTTCGGAGGAGCATATTTTTCACAGGTGTTTATGCCCTTGGCAGGCTTGTCTACTCTGACTGAACAGCGATCCCCAGGGGTGGGCTGAGGTCCATATGGGGTTCCCTCAGTCTCTGTCACTCTGGTCATTTTTATGGTTTTGAATGTTGCCCTACATTTTTCTCTTATTCTGTCTAGGACCTTCAAGTGTAACCCTGATCAGAGTGATAGATATTGACTAGTGGACATCACCTGGTTCTAATGTCAAGCTAATCGAAGTTGTGTTTCACATGGTCCATTAGTCCATTGGATTAATTGTTTCTTTGAGACTTACTTTTCTTTTTTTTTTTTTTTACT